GATGAAAAAAGTCCAGAAACACTAGGAAATCGAGTATAAAGCATGGGTGATAATCAATGAGCAAACACTAGAATGACACGGTCAACTGATATTGATATTGAAAGAAATGAATGATACGTAACATAGACCGATTGATACAACGACAACTCCTGAGGCTGTACGTTTTGCGTAATGAGGATTTAATGATTTTGCTCACAATCAAATTCAATCTGAGTCTTCGCAAACGCAAAACGCACACGATTAAGAATGGTCGTTCAACCAAACAACCGATTAGCACGTTCAAACTTAACTATTCATTGCTAAAGTTAAATTATAAATATTAAGAAATAAAGAAGCACATTGATGGCAACAGAAACAACGATTTATTTTATTTCTGATTTATTACTTTATGTAAAGCATTTTATGTAAATTTTATATAAGGAAGTGCCACATAAGTTCCACCGCTCCTGTAAGGTTTCCAAAGATTTTTTTAAAACTTTTTTAAGCCATTTTGATATGAATTTTTGAACAAGGTTTGCAGCAAATTTTGAGGTAATTTTATATTATCAGTTCGTAAAATGAAAACTGCGTTTAATTTTCGTCGAAGTAAGTTTCAATAGTCAGTGAGGTGCGTGGGGAAAATGCCAATCTATGTGGGGCTGTACGGATGGAAGAAAACCAAAAAAATCTAATTAAAAAATGAGCACTCATTGAAACACCTGTACATTTGGAAAAGCTGTTTATTCATGTTGATAATAATGAGAATAAATTTTTCACAGCAATAAAGTTTCACCACATTAAAGTGTGGACATCTATCAAGACCATAGACTATGGAACAGTAATAATGACATTAATTGATTACAAATGCAATACTGAATAATAGTTAGATTGGTTGCACAGTAGCACGTTTCATAGCTCACTGTCAAATAAGATAATCCATCGAATACTCGAATCACGAAAATTCAACCAAAAGTACGAATAAGAATATGAAGTGAAAGAAATGAAAACCGTCGAAATAATGCTAACGAAATCAAAAAGTTGAAAAATCACGGACACTTTATGAATACAACACTCGAAATCACTAGCAAGTTGAGAAGAGAGAAGGATCCGATACAATGTTGCATCACAAGAACATGAACACTCATTAAATAAGATTCATTGGTTCGCAGAAAAGCGCCTTCTTAATCCTTTTCTAAGAGGGAGTAGTGAATTATTTGTTTTTTCTTGAGTTGTCAGTCTTGATTTAATGAATTCGTTAATTAATTATGAGTATCGTTAATATTAAATAATTCATTTTACATTTACCAGTTATTTGATTTTGCCATCATGAACGCGCAACGCGTATTTGAATATAATACACTATATCAAACTCTATCGTTTATATTTCTTTTCTATGAAGAACTGGTCGCTTCCCACGATATCATTGCTTCTATGCGCACATATTTATCGATTGTTGTAGTTGTTGAGTGCTCAGCAAATTTCCGAAGTATTCAGCGATTTCGAAAATATATTCGAAACATCATTATTTCTCTAATTATTTTTATAGTAGGCGTCTAGGCTCAAACACGATTACTGCCCATTAATTTCGTATTTTTCAATCGATAAATTAACGCGAACTAAAGAGAAATTTTCGACCACAACTGAAATCAGTCATTTTTTATTAGAAATGACAAATTGTGCTCATTTTTCAGGTGAATTTTGGTGAATAGCGGCGTTCAGTTGTGAAAGATGATGTCCGCTGGACCGTCAAAAGCCACCACTCCAGAGGTAGAACCTAAAGTTTTAATTTATGAAGGTATCGAAAATTTGAGCAATTCACTAGATGTGCTCAATTTCTTGGAAATTACAGTTCTGAGCTAATATTACAGGTAAATCTGCGCAAAGTGATTGCTATCTTGAATCAGAAGAGAACCTTCGACAGTGTTGACGCAAGGCAACGTGAACTGGATGCGCAACGCAAGGTATCAATTTTCTTTCGTGATCTAATTCTTGTCTTGTTCAAGCCGTTCTCACTGAAATGAGTATCCAGATTTTCTTCGTTCGTAATCGATTTATCACAATCCTGCTTAAAATCATGCTAAAATTGTTTTGTAGCTTTACCTCCGAATTTTCTTAAATTCACCAGTGTTATTGTTTGGATAAGCATTTATATGGACATTGAAATTATTGAATAAATGGGTACTTCTGTTTTGTAGGATTTAGATGAATATTTTCAATATATACGGTTTATTTCGGTGAAATTAGTGAAAACTGATCCCTTTAATTTCATAAATTCTCATACATGATGTATTTTTACATAGTCCAGAGTCCTAGTGGTACTTTCAAAGACTCCAAAAAAATGTCGATAATTTTGGCAATTTCAGCGGAATCGAGCTCGGCAGAAGCGAGCTTCTAGTGCGTTCCCTCGTTCAGACCTCTCCTCACCGGACAGCAGTCGTTCCGAACGAGGCCATTCAGTGGCTGGTCCTGGTCATAATCCAACGTTAGTGTTCTGCCGAATATTTCCTGAGAATTCATTTAATATTCCACTCGGAATCAATATGAACATGACCATGTTTTCGAGGCAACTCCATTAAATCCTTGAAAACATGACAAGTAACACATGTTCAGAAAACTATACCTCTACAATCGTTATACTCAATATATTTTTGTTGTTTTTCATTGTGTACGTGTTAACAGGTGTTGATGGAAGTGGTACCAAAGAAACCAAACCAGTCTTAGAATCGTTGCATGAACAAAATATCTAAGCTAAAATATCAGTTGTTGCAATGTTATGAGGAGTATACGATCTGTAATCGAGTAGTTCATTCAGTGTGCAATGTGAATCGTCTGAAAGGTCATTCAGAGCGAAAAGCCTAAATCGATCAATTGAAAATCTGCATCAAGCAATTTCAACGTCCTCTTCTTCGTCAGCAGCCAGTCTGAATACTACAGCTCCTGGAAACTTATTGGATCTCCACGATAAGGTGTGTGTTGTCTTTAAGTTGTTTACCGACTTATTACTTTTATCGCATTTAGGGTATTCGCAGTCAGTTTCTCTTTTGCATTCGTCGATACATCAATGAAAGTTTGTATGCGTTTAGAATTTCATTAATTGTATATTGAAGTGTTGTTGTTTGTATGCGTTTTAAAAGTATGTTAAGGCGATTGCTGTTAACATCTGCATGGGGCTATATTAAGTTCGTTAGGAATAGCAATGCACTATCGCGATATCGATTGATTCAAAGTGAATCTCGTTTAATCAACAGCAGTGCACTGCATTTTCATTCGCAGAATGTAGCTTCTCTCTGCCATCAACATTTCCCATTCACTACAAATTCTGCATTTAGCTCTAGTCTCTTTCAGTTCTTATATTCTTTAGAGGATTTGTAGCAAAAAGGATCATTTCCATGAAGACTACTCTGAAGGCGAATGAACAAGTGATAGTAAAAGAGTGCCAGACAATCAGAATATCTTTAAGATGAGGTCAAAATATGTTCCCAGAAGTTTTTAGTTCCTGAAGTAAGCAGGGTCTGAATAACTTGTATAGAAGGAAGTCACTATTTTGGTATCATATCGAATTTGTAAG